ACTTTATATGATAAGTGAGAATAGTGTTTAGTCTCTTTTAAACGAACCAACCAAGTCAAAGGTTGCCACTGGCTAAGAAGAAGATAACATTTGATTTAACCTCTCAGCCAACCTTTGAAAAGTGCCTGAAGCTTAACTGTCCCTCAAACGACTTATCGTGAATGAATAGCGATGTCATGCATCACGTCTCAACCGCGGGTAACTTACGGTCTCCCAAGTGGGACGACTAGCTTCTGAAAAGTTAGATTAACCAAGAATTAATCTGATCGTATGCTATATCTCTGCATCATTCCACCCTCCAATAGCTCATGAGTATTCTCCTGTAGCAGTAGATAATTCCCCAAAATTATTAGCCTGAAGTATACACCACCCAACATTGGATTCTGGCCTTCACTAATTAAGTTGATTTGCCTAGCTGAAGGCTCGTGGTCAGGCATCTATGCTACTTGTCACGCTGTTTTATTACGTTCGGTTGTTCCGGTACGATCCCTAGTTAGTTAAGTATCCATACTCCGTCTATTGGACGATTGATTTGTTGTTTCGATTTGTCTTTGGATTAAGCGGAACAAATAGTATAGTGGCTGTGGGTATGAGATCTTGCGTTAGTACACGTCATACTATCTGTGAAAGTCAGCATCCTCAGTCTTTAATTCCCACTCTTATGGTACAAAGGAAGGATAGCAACGACTGGTGACTCAATGGTGATTACTGACGCCGGGGGAATATTACAGCAGGTGGTCAACAATCAGTGATTTCCACTTCTATTTCCTCTATGCGACTACAAACTACAGGAACAAAGCCAAGTTCCTTCGGCAGAGATCTTCTGGCTATATATCATGTTATACGTCGCTTTTAAAATTCATCACAGGGTCCAGATTGCATGACATTCATAGGCAGCCACCCCCTCACATAATCTCCGAGCTCAAAATCAGACAGGTACTCACCAACAGAGTCACCCCAACTAGACTACATTTCACAGTTTACCTCAGACGTTTGCTAAGTATCTGTGGCCAGTAACACAGCTGCGGATACCTTGTCGCTTATTTGCACCTTCATATAAAGTGACAGTTTGAATTTCGTTAAACTAACTTGTTTTCATATAGAAGACAGCCAGCTTCTATATGAGTCTTCGGCAACAAGTGAATTACAAGGGTGACCGTTGGGCATAAGCAAGGATAGTATTCTTTGTAACGTCTTCGCGAATACTTTTCGTTTTATTTTCTCCTAAATTCACTGCCTTTAGATCTTTAATAAGTTCCTCAACTTGTCTAATGTAGTAACCCAGGCTGCCACCAATCTCGCTAACAAACTTTTATCGCCTTGGTAACTTTCTTACTCCATATGTCTATTGCTGGTTGATTAATGATCATTTGGCTTGTCTGTCGGTGTTGCCATATCACTCCCATTGAAGCTTAGTTTTTTATTATATACATAAATAATACTCTCGTTTCTGAAGAGTTTCTTTTCGGCAACAGCAACACAACAGTTCATAATTGCATTACAGACAGTTTGTGATCTGTTCATCTGCAAACTCTATGGCCCTATGGCCATAGTAACTCATAGTCCCTGAAGCCTTGAACTTACTGGCACTCTGTTTGTTCCATTGGTGATCCTCGGTTATTTCTTTGAACTATCATTGTTTGATGTATTCTTTTGGTTTCACACTTCGGTGACGTTCTCTAGTTCTTGGGCCTAAGAAAAGGCCGGGTGATTGTGTTGATTACGAACTGCTTCAAGTTATAGATGATTTGCTTGTGGTATGGTTGATACGTCCGGAAGATATTGTTGGTTGAGGGACAAGTCAATCAAGAAAAGGATGACTTTGTAGTTGTCTAAATTTAACCCACAGTCTTTTAATGGATGTCTAACGGACTGCACACACTTTTTGAAGGGGATTGAACATAAGTTGAGCGATAATAGACTAAATGACGAAATAAGGCTAAATTACCCATTAAACATTTAACTGGCTAAACCGATAGCACGATTCATTGTTGTAAGCTGTTATCTCCCAAGGACGTGCAAATTATGCTTGGGAATTTAAAGGTTATACACGATTTCTACGAGCGTTTCAAACATTGTCAGCGGTAATGATTGGTAATTAAGAGATCATTTGGAAATTGTCACTTTATTTATGGATAACTTCATGAATTGCAAAAATACTTCAATACCTTTGAATCCTATGAGCGATCTGAACTCAGGTTCTGTTGCTAAAGTAAATACCAGATATTTACCTACCTCATTGTTGAAGAAGGGGAGCAAGATCCGTCCACGCATATAGGAAGAGGGTGTGGAACCCAAATCTGATGGTGTTTGGGGGCTCATGGAAGATCGTGTAAGCCACAAGATCAGAAATCTCGCCAGCATCTTGCATCTCACTCCTGAAGCTGATAGATTCATAGTGAACGAAATTCAGCCTTGATGAAATATTTGCAGAGCAAAAAGACGTATCAATTTCGCTCATTCTTAGCCACTTCAAGGGGTTCGCCAATTTTCCTAAAATGTCTCATTTGGAAAGATTTGAATTAGCGAATAAGAGATGACCATGGTTCCCCTGCCTGAAAGAAGGGCTTATGAAACTGAACTGCAATACGAAAAATTTGAATGAAGCTAGAAATTCAGCGGAATCGCGTCCACTGTTGAGAAAGGACAAGGGTGGTACTCCTGTAGCCAATATTAAAACACTGATAAGGTACATAATAAAATAATTTCCTTGTGTGTATCAGTGCAGTGCGAGGACCGAGATCATGCGTCGATTTCTGCGCACTCCTAGATAACAGACCCTATGCCACGTTGATTGACCGTTTTCAGTACTTAATTCGATGAACCCTCCTAACACATTTTCATGTGACCAAGCATCGTTTTACTAGGTACTCTTGACAACTCAGGTGTGAAATATGTACTACTTCTCTTATAAGCTTGACGATGAAAACCCCACCAGCATGATATGAACAGTTCATGACAACAAAGTGGGACTACTTTTAGGGCTATCTGAGAAAGAGTTACGGAGGCATAGAAGACCTGTATGCAACGAAGAAGCCACTTTGCTGGACTGTGATAAGTCCCATTACGTGAGCTTATCTATCATGCCACACTGGTAGCGAAGAAAAAAGCTCAGAGACTATGATTCATGACAACGTACAAAAGGTAATTTCATGACGACAGTAGCCTAGACACTTTAAGTTCTCTTGGAGATGGGAAGGCAGCTTAACTAGTCAAAGGATCTTCACCTGATGAAAATGGAAATTTCACCATAGATCTGCCAATGAGGCTTGGAGATAACTACCTAATTCATAACTGCGATACTGCTTTTAAGCGATTTACGAATTTGCGAAAGAAGCGTTCCCTAGATTCAGATCTGGGTATTAAGCGGAGAATTTTATTGATAAGAATAGTGAAAGGTTGTGTATAAAAAGTGACAATATAGAGTTAACCAGGAAGATTAAATCTGCCTAAATCATAAAAACTGCGTGTGGTTTTCGACTGTCCTGTAAAGCATTCTAGTTCATAACTGAATGACCCTTTATACACCGCTCTAGATTGCATGGGCCCATCGACTGGTCCACTACTAGGATTTGGGAATTTTTCAGAAGCTATAACTGCAGATATGGAAGGAATGATCTTGTAAGTAAAGATACCAGATAGTAACAGGGACTACCTCAGGTTTTTACAGTTGGAAGGCAGAATTTCCGGGTATAGAAGGTCAGCCGATCCGTTCGACGCTTTGTATTCACCGTTTTGTGCTTGTTTCGCCTTATGCAAGGCTATGTCTGCATTCGGACGAAAGTGACTATGGTTTTTTCGTGGACCACTGTTTAGCATCCTCCGATGGGAAAAGCTCATATTAAGTATTAGCCATGCTTTAGCTGAAGCTAACTTTCGAATGACTAAGTGATTTTCCAAAAACCATATATGTTTCAGGACACAACCCCAGATATCACGGTATCTTCTCTGTATGAATTATCTGTTGATTTACTGATGACTAGTAGCATATTGGGGTAACCATTGGAAGTCAGCTATAATACATTTGGCTTTAAGAGGATGATGTCATGGTCGGCTGAACCTAAGATTTCTCCCCACCATTACAAACCTTGTTTTATCCATCAGCACTGATCCCAGTCAAATATATGATAATGAAATGTTTATTGCGTAAACTTGCAGTTTCTGAATTAGAAAGCTACGCTGAAGCCTTCTTGCTGAAATCATTTTCCAGCAACACAGTTCCACTTCTCATATGGTCACTGCTATAGACAAAATAAACAATCTGTCAGCTGTATTTCGGTATAACAGCTTAAAAATAAACATTTGCACCCCAGTAGTCAAAATATGACACAAGTGTCATACCTGAGGTAAAGCATCCACTAAAGTGTTTATTAAGTGACGAATTCAACTTTCATACTGACTTTCATACTTGAAAAGTTGTCGGCTATTCGGTAAAACGATTAATGACCTTACTTGAGAGTGCAAGTGTTATCCTTCAAGAGGTAATGAAGTAGTAGTAGTAGCAGTGGTAGACACCTTTCGAAATATTACGTTTCATATTTCAGGTTGGTTTGTAGGGATATTATATGGAAACACACTAAAGCCTGAGACCATCCATCTGGGCCGTTACCAGTCACATTTATTTTTTGTTCACTGAATCCTCAACGTCAAATTGCAGACCACAGTACTTCGATGGAACTTGAAGTATGGAACAACTAAGGTCGATAAACGAGGTCTTAACGTAAAAACTAGCAAACCAGGGTTCGTAAAATATGGAAAACTTTTGTTCGCATCAAGGGTTTTGAATTTTTAAGCATATCAGGATCTAACAACAATATGTCAAGCTCTTTCCAAATTAACATCATCCTCAAATTCATATCCTTAATCATAGCTTGGAATAATAATAAAAAAACAAGTGAAAAATAACTAACAACTCGTAAATGATAATAAAGGACATTTTTGAAGTAAAATCTTCCACTGACATATTAGTAATTACATGTCGAAGGTTAGAAAAAAGGTCAGTTTTTAAAAAGGTACGTTACTTCAGCAGTATTTCATTCATTTCGTTAATTGTTTTTTCACATGAATCATTACTGGGAATGCCGAATATCTTTTGCTCAATAATTTTCCAGGGTAAATTTATTAAAGTGCACGCTGTTTTATTATCCTTGGGGCGGCCAGTCACCTTATCAGTAGGGAATAGTACACAACGAATCAGTTTTATTTATTACTAACACAGAATGTTTCTGAAGATCTAGGGAACAGATAGGATCTGCACCTTAAACCAAGCCACACATAATTATTCCTTCTCTTTACTTTCGCTTTGTCTCACCTTAGGCCCTGGCTCTAAACAGTAATCATTCACATTAGTATTCACACTACTCTGAGAAACTGGGAGTTACTCCTTCAACATCCTAAACAATGTATCATGTTTAATATTATTCAACTGCAAGCCATTTTTCCCAGGAATTTCATGTATTCTACCTAAAACAACCTGATTTATTCACATAAGGTTAGTCAGTCGGCCGCTTGGACAACTATTCTCTGATTTCTCTCAGTAATTTGTATAAATGACTTTTGTCTAAGTTTCTCTACTTTCATGATTTTAATGCCCATGTATTCCTATTCCCTAGATTTCGTAAGGAATACTGGTCATCTCGGATATCTCTATTCCCCTGTTTATGATTTAGTTTATTGTACTTTTAGACTGCTGATTAGCTCACAGCTCATTTCTGTATACAGTGACTCCGCGTTAAGTTGCTTCATTGCAGGGCAAATTCAGACTTCTGTTTCTTTAGTAACACTTAAGTGACTTCTGACTAACTAAGAGTAGGGTCGTGTAGTTACAGGAAGTTAGTTATAGATTTGGAGTTAGGCTTAAAATTTGGATCTATGTTTTTTCACTCCATTAAGTATCCGTATTTGTGCTTTTCCTGTCTAGAGCAAGTCGTTTGATGGTGCAAACTTCTTTCGGGAGGTGATGTAGAGTTAATCAATCGATAAGAGTACTTTTATTCCATAATCATATAGTTTTTCAGATATCAGACCATCCATCACATCACTCTATGGTCAGTTAGTATTGATCTACCTAACGACTTGGAGTTCCGAAAAGAACTAGTATTCAAGCCATAATAAACTGCCAGCCTAGACAACTCACACCCGGCTCTTATTAAAACGCTACTCAGGGAAACGACCAGATTGTTCGGAAAGTTATGGGAACACAAATGTATTTTATCAGTGTGCGGTGATTCTCTTATCGTGCTTATCTTCACAAACGTCCTAAGCAATATATATAGCGACAATCTACCATGAAAATGCAGACTGCTGTCGTGCTCCGTAGGCAATATATATGTATATATATTCTCCGCTTCACTATTTTTCATCTAAATTGATCTCAATTAATTATTAATTGGTTGTGTGTACATTTGGTTGCTTTTTGATGCACTCGACAACTCAGAAAAACTGTGTAGTGACTTGAGTTATCGTATCCATCGGACATTAGTGAAGCAAAGTAATCCATCAACTAAATAATAAAACGAGTCAGAATATTCAGATTGCTTTGTGATTCGAAGTGTTTTACTGTGTGAGAATGTGATACAACTACACAAACTCGGAGTGAAGTAGGAAAGCAAATAAACTTTTGTATTTACAACACATCTTACACTTGTTTAGTGTGATTTTAATGCATTGGTAAATAACAACGTGATGTCAGAAACTCTTAATCATATCGCTTGTTATCTCTAAACGTAGATTTCAATTGACACATGGTGCCAAGCCCTCCAAATTTCACTTTTATACTCATTTTAATAAGTTCATGCATTCTTAATGTCTTTGTGTGGCCATTTCTTCTGATTTGACCATATTTCCAGTATAATAAGTAGTAGCAGTTGGTAAAGTACTTCTCAGTTGATGACTTGACTCAATTTACTTAGTACTTCACGCTTAACTGCTACATTGTTTTTGTCAGGATACGCGAACAATTCTACGAATGTCATATCAGTCAAGTACGTGTGGTCATTGTGAGTGCACTAACTGTAATCGACCTGCTTCACTATGATAGTGTAGAACTGTATTGCTGTATAAGACACTTTATCCTTAATGATCAGTCTCAAGCCTCGTCTGTGCAATATGACTAAAGCTAGGTTAGCCTTTTTCTTGGCACCCCAATAGAACTAATTGGGGAGCAGTTGAAGTTCCGTTCAAAGTGTTGTCATGGTTCCAGTCATCTCTGTGTGAATAACTGAATCGTTCTCATTTATGGCCTCACTAATCCTTGTTTTTCTAGTACAGTTCTCTTTGATCAACTTGAATATATTTTTTTAATTTTTACCTGTTGATGCTGGTTTTTATATCTGCGTAGCTTTCACTGCCCATGATCATAAAGCAAACTCTTTGTAACTATGTATTTAAGCTACCCGTGTTCTCCACTCTTCTATGGGCCTTTTTGGGGTTCTTTTACGTGAATCCATTAGTTGTGAAGAAGCCCTTTAAATCCTCTCACCGTTTGTAATCGTTTTATTTGAATCAGAAGTAGTGTCAATGTTTTCCCAGCAGACAAAACATAGTAACAGACTTCTTCAGGACAAATCAAGTTATTTTCTGGGTTATACTAATCTAGTGACTGTCTTCAGAGGTTACCGAAAAATAAAACGGCCTAAATTTTTCAATTTCATAATACCAGACTGAATCCTTTCAAATACGCATTTTCATTAGATAGAAGTGAATGTCTTGTTCTTCGAACAAAAACATTCTCAAACTGCGAACTTTTTAACCACTCATTACTTTTTTCTTTTTACGTTATATTCACACCCTTTTATCCGCATATAGTATGTCTGGTGATTGTTCTGTTTCGGATCACTGTGACAATTCGGTAGCCATCTATGAGGCGAATGAAGATGACTTGGAGACAATGGAAACAGAAACAATAGTTGAAGAATTTGTGAGGCTGAAGTTAAAACAAAACACTGGCATCATTCAACGTCGACGAACCTCGACTGATATGGAGTAAGCTAATTATGAAAAGTACTAAATAAATTTTAGAACGCAAGCTCTCATTGGTCGACTTATAGAAATATCAAATGAACTGGAGGCTCAGTATGGTGAACGTTTGAATCGAGACGCTGAAATGTGGATAAAGTCGGCTACTTATGACAAATTCCTGCAGATTGCGAAGGGGTAGGTTTTTTCTTTCTTTCTTTCTATTCTTTATCATGTATAACATTCTTTAATCGTATGTTAATTTACCGGATAATATGTAACCCTGTTTAAATGGTATTCATAGATGCTATTAAATATTTAGGAGATGGATAGGAGATACTTTGTATGTTGAGCAATGACCCTTAACTCTACAATATGAAGTTGAAGTTTATCCAAAAGGATATTTCTAGGTATCAAGTTTGACTTGCCGAAGCTTTTTGGCTGCTAGTGCGAAAGATTGGATAATACAGTATTAATCTTCCTGTTTGTTTTCACTCTATCTGCTCAAACTTAGTAGTTTATCGAAATACCAGTTCTTTTTCTCTTAAACACTAAATTAAATTTAAGGTCAATGTTTCTGCATTATTCACTAATTATTTATTGTATTGTTTCAGTATTTAATTTTTTTATTTATTGTTCCCTAAGCAAGACGCTTTAATTACAGAGCTTACGTTGTCCTTCTAGGTAATATCGTCAGCTCCACTTCAGTTTAGTGACGGGATGTTTTCAGGAAATTTTTGATACTTAGTATATTATTTTGGTTTTTTGTATTATTGTGACGAACAAAAGATCAGTCGTAATAATGGAATATTTTGAGTTGTGATGGCTCTCTGGAGTTTCTGTTGAAGAATATTGATTGACCAAAGTAAACACGTGTGTCCCAGTCACAGTTTCTCGGGTCACCTGCCAAACCACCTCGAGAAAATGAAGTATGAATGAATGAATGAATTTAGGAACACAGTAAAGCAACTTGATCAGCACACACAAGTTTAACTTTAAGACCGAAGTTCTATTCGACTGAAAAGTGATAAACGGAGTAATTTTCTATTAATTTTTGGCTGCTAAATTAAATCATCTGCTGACGAATTGTTGGAAGTTATCCTTAGCCTCCTTATTTTTATGCTTTTTATGAATCCTAGCGGCGATTTTTACTTGATTTTCTCCCTACATCTCTGAATTTTGCATACAATTGGCGTTTATTTTTCAGTAAATTTATGCTGTTAATGTGCACATAGAATCAATACGGCAATGCTTTGCATTCCTGATTTTTATTCATTTGGTAGAATTTTTTTACCAATATGTAAGAGTATTATAAGGATTTTTTGGACATTGCAAAACCATGATTTTATAAGGAAAACTGTTTAAACACTGCATTATGTAAACGTTGACTCTTTTCGTCTTTGGGTTTACTATGGTGAATTATATTAGTGCTAACTGATATGTATAGCATATGAAGGTATTTCTCCCTAACTCTACAGGAGCAGTCGTCTTTTTGGAATAAAAATCTACACGTATGCCTTGTAAACCATCTAACAAACCTAACATTCACTACAGAATCTTACAAGTACTCAACCAACAACTAACAATCTATGACTGACTGAGAAACTGAAACCCTGAACAATTCTAACTGTCATTGTTTTCAGGATTTCATCATGAGCTGACATTGGTTAGAGAACCATTGGAAAAACTGGGAGTACTGGACAGCTGTTTCGTGCTAGTCTGTCATTCTTTGATTGATAACGACTAAAATAAAATTGCTTCCGTCTTCGTTAACTTTATTGCAGACGTGGCATTCAAATGGAGAGTTTTCAAAATAGTGTAAAGTAAAAGTGTAAATCTTTAAACAGTATGATACAAAGGTTAGATATTTCACTACTTTATATAGGATTTTTCAAAACGTAAATTTTATGGCAAAAGTAGACCATCTTACAATATTCCTCTACAATTCGTTGTTGGGTAAATAATCTGTTCTTATAGTGTGGTTTGAAAATTTTGTTTTGTCCCTCTCAGAGCTATCGCTCATTCGCGTAGCATCATTAGTTGTTAAGCAAGAAGTGTAGCTTATGACCTAGCTTACAAAGCGTTTTAAGAGGCTATTTACTTTGCTTGAAGGCATATAAGCTCGTTTACTTATCGACCTCAACCGAAACTAAATTTCGTGGTTGTTACGTGACTACCTATCAGTGCTAGACCTTCACTTCGGCCACACCTGGCCGACTGCTTAATTTAGCCCATCCTAATCTGGTTGCCAGGTTTCTCTTGAGGCCACTCAACTTATGATGCCAGAACACAATAGTTACGTCTTATCTAGGATGTATTTAGCTAAAGTAGTTTTGAGAGTACTACAAAACTGCAACGAATCAACACTACACAGCCATCATACTCTGTTCCCTTCAAACAACCAACTGTCCGCAATGTGTCTTCTTTGACCTTCATCAGAGAGAGGTAAACTGATCGATGATAGTGAAATATCTGAACTCCAATTCTATTAAAGAATATCTTTCACCCCTTACAACTTCATGTTGCTTACTTGTTTATAAGAACGTGTGGAATAAGTACTTAAACTTATTATTAACTAAACAATTAGTGTTCCAGGCACATTCATGAGTAAAGCGATCTTTTCATCCTTTCAATTCTCATTGAATTGCAACTTTGATATGAATAACTTATTTCATTTATGATTTAACATGTTGCATGTTCTCAATAGCTTTATTTCTCACTAAGCATAATTATTATCACACCAATTTGTGTGATATACTTTTTTCTTCAGGGATTTGTCCAACCGGGGATTTAAAGGTAATACCGTAGCATAAGACGTAATGTTTTTGCGCAAACTTATATCTGACGAATTCAATGCGTTTTGTTTTATCATTATCAATCCTATATATTAATCCTTTGTTTTAAATGCAGATTCATTTACTAAAAGATAAAGTAAAATAACGCAGAAGTGTTAGACAATTCTTCATCACCCTAGATACAACTATTAAAATACTTCGTAATAGGAACTTAAAGTAGCAAAATACCTTTAACTTTCAGTATTGTGGGTAAAGTTCTGTATCATGTTCTATTTTGGGAGCTTTACCAGCTATTGATTAATTAGTCCTACAAAAGTGTATGTATTAAGCCTATTCACTAGCTGACATAGTCCCCTTCCTTTTTGGTTTTCTCCAACGACTAAGCATACTGTAAGCAGTCGCTATCATATATGTTTGATTTCCGGGTAACTGAAGTGAATTTGGCACACAGTTTCACTCTAAACTGACCAAGAGACCATGATTTACTTATCTCTCTATGTTTTTTTAAATTCTGAAACAGCGAATGTTAGGAATGTACTCTCAGCGTTCTGTCTAACACCGATGTTGTTTGTATACGCCTACTGTCACTATAATTAGCATTTTCGCATCGATAATACGTCAACCGTAGATCTAGTGTAAGCATGATTTCGGTTTTTACAAAAGTATACTTCTGCTTCTGGTTAGCTAAATAAGATAGACATAGTATCAAATTTTGGTTGGATGTAATTTTTATTGATGATTAGCAATTCACAGCATAAGAGACTGAAATGTGAATCTTCACAAAGTTCTGTTAAAGATGGTAAATACCCTATGTTGTGTCTCTGAAATACGCATACAACTACCAACACACCAATACTAACACGATGAATCAAGAGACCCTTCGGCTAGTTCTGGTGGACTTGCCGGTGTAGGAATACCATTGAGCTCCATAGCACTGTATGCTAAACAGACTTGTAAGAAGAGATGAACGTTGTGATACTTGTCGATACCTTTTTCATAATATCAGCTTACATATCAACTGATTGCGGTGTAGAAGAAAATTATGAGTTTTATCAAGAGCTTTTAAGTTTGTTTCTGAAAGCTCAACACTCAGATAAATCCGTCTTAGTAGGAGATTTCGGTACTCAAGTAGGGGGACTGAGCCACTCCAAAAAGTATATCACAGGTATATATGAAGTCCAATATCTCCCATTCGGATTCCACTCCTAGGCCCAACATGTGATGTCACATGAATATCTCCTCAACATATGTCCAATCCATCTCCATTTTCTCGCGCATATTTGCTGGGCATTAAGTTCTTGATTGGTTCTCTGTCAGTGCTTTTTTTTCTGTTTTGCAATTTGGTCTTCAGTATCGAGCAAGGGTAGCTGTTGATGAACGTCTATAGCTTATCGAGAATACTCTTGGTGATGCGTGCTTCAAGTCTCTGAATAATGTAGAACCATTGACCTAACACTAGTGTTGGGAATTCGGAGATTATTCCACACTGATCTCAGAATAATAAGCGCCTATCTCGCTTTTCTGATCCCGTCTTGGTTGGCTTTCTAACCCTGCCTTTGAAATCCCCATCCGTACCACCTGATGCCGAGACTATGCTGTTGAGGTGTCAAGTGAAGGAGACAACCTCGTTCACATTTTAACCCATTAATGGCGATTGTTACCTGTTATTGCCGGTTGAGAATCTTCGTCACCTCTATCTTCTCTGCCCTCACCCGAAGTCCTGTCTTGGTTGACCCTTCTGCCAACTTGTTGCTTTTCGCAAAGTGTTGCAATTTGGTCCATGCATGACTTGCTTCTCTTATATCCAGCCTGTTCCGGCAAAGTCTCACATCTGGGACATCTTTCAGGCTTTCCGGGATGGTGCAGCTTGATATCTTGCTAGTGGCTGACAGTAGTATGACTCCACATCAGTTATCGCGTTGGCCTAAGTCACCCTTCTCTGTAGTTTAACAAGGCAGCCTTTTTTCTGACTAGTGGGCAAATTCACTTCCTTCTGCATATACAGTAGTAACGTGAGCATGTCCATTGAGGTCTCTGTTACGTTTTTTTAGTGCTTCTGGGGGGCGGGGAATTCCGTCTAGTCATGTTGTTAACCCAGCTGGCATTCATTCAACACTCCTATTTTAGTAGGAGGGTTGGTGTTGACTGGTAGTTCTGTGTCTGCTGGTGATTGTATTTCAGGCAGAGGTCTAAGTGGTGTTGGATTTGAGAGTCCTTCGAAGTGATTTGCATACCATTCCCTTTGTTTCTTCTCTTCGGTAATTCGGTTCACTTCATTACACTTCGCTGGTTTCATTAGCATTGGTCCCTTCCCGAATAGCGACCTGGTTATCTGATATAATGTTCTGAAGTCCATCCTACATACAGTCTCTTCTACTTCAGTTTCCAATATATCGTAGCGTCGTCTTTTGTCTTTCTTAGCACTCTTCTTCGCTCCTATGTTCTTTGCATTTTAGATTGAATTCAGCTTCTGTTTTCTTTCTTTATCTTTGCACTGGTTCATATTCTGCTTCACCATCTTTCTCTCCTGTCTGTGGAGAATTATTCCTTGTTTTTCCTAGGTTTCGTTCCACATTGATTTCAGAGAGTTCTAGTGTTCTTCCACCACATATATTTTCTCGGTGATGTTGTCTAATGTTTCCAACGTTTTCCAGATGACTGCAGTGAAGGTGTCTCATGTAGCTTCGTCCTTCAGTTTCTGAGAATCACATTGCCTTGTCGATATCCTGGTATTCGAATCACCAAAATCAGTGAAGGCGCTGAACTCCGGAAAGAATTTTCATTACATGCCTCTGGAAGTATAATGAGTTCTCTGTCTGTCCTATCTGTTCCCACTTTGCTGGCATTCATATCACTCGTTAGGATTTTGATGTCGCCACTTGTAAATTACTGCTTGCACTTGTGTTTGGAAGTCTTCTTGTCTTGCTCTGTGTTGTATGTAGGTAGGTAGCAATGTGCAATTGTAACCCTCCTTCCTTTCCAGTTGGATCTTGGTGCCATGATCCTGAAACAGACTGGTTCTGGCTTCATTAGGGCCTTCAGTGTTGCCGGTGACATCATGTTGGCCATACTGTCTTGGTGCTGCTGTTTGTCATTTGAATGAAAGAAGTAATTTGTTAACTCTTCAGTTAGTAATCTTCAAACTTCACTTTCACTCCATCTGATGTCACAGATTCCTAACGCCTGCATGCCATATCTTCTCATTTTTTCTACAATGTGAGCAGCCTTGGCAACTAGCCTCAAAGATAATACGGATATTCCATTCCTCCATGCTTATTTGTTTGCTTTTACGATAAGAAGACCCACTGACCAACTGACTTTTCAAAAGTCTCAATCCAATCGCATCATCTGTCCTCCTTGGTTTCAGAGGAGAATAAGTTAACTTTTTCTGTGCCTTGAATTTTCACTAGTAATGTGATGAGGTTACTGACCTCTCTTTTTCTGGGTGTAGGGCGATATAATGCGTAATAACGAGGTTAAGCACAGAATGTTAGACCAGGAAGATAAGTCGACCAGTGACTTTATGAAACACCATTGACGACTGATTTGGCTAGAGTCTGCACACATGATGTACTGTCGCCTTTCTCCAAGACCAATTTTATCTGATATAGGACAAGGCTGGAAAAGATTTTGGGTGACCAGATCAAAACAGTGGACCAATGAATGCATTCTCTGACTGTCCGTTAATACGTAATCCGGTTTCTTGAGATGCTGAGAATTAGTGGTAGTAAGATGTCGGTTCTCGGTGGCAAAGATGTATTCACTACTTTTAATCTTCTGGATTCTGGAAATCTTCATCGTTTTATTTCTCCATGGTAGTTTAATTACACTGCTTTCCTACACTTTTATGGGTGCTTTAAAGAAGTGTGACCACTTGAAATGATGCCCCCTCCTTCAGTTCTCTCAGAATACCTTCAGACCGGTTTTTTTTTTCAGATAGATGTGAGTGAGTGCTTTCAAAAATCCTGTCCTAGTGATACTGAAATCATTATCTTATAGTCTATTACAGTTCTACTATGGCTTAGATGGGCCAAGTTTCTGGGCATCATCACAATCAGTGCAATCAACCATGAGAATTAGCTGTAACATCTTGGCCAAGCAATGACAGCAACTTTAACGTCTGCATTTGTATTGAAACTTCTTAAAATTACAGTGAATACTATCGGCGAAATAACGCTTCTTTTATCAACAGAGATTCTCCACTTTAACCTACAGTGATATTCCATCTGTTTATATTGATAATTAAATAACAGTTTCTTGTCTATATCTGCACACGAAATAATTAGTGTGTAAAAGACAAAATGTTGTACCTTAGCCCAGCCGGACTGAAAACATCTAGTGGTTAGTGCTGTGTTCGTAAATTGCACTACTGACTACTTATTTGTTTATTAATAGCTGGTCTGAATAACTGATTAGGGACTGATTGACCAGCTCTTTGCAAAGGCTGATATTTTTCAATCCCGTTAACTCAGTATACCACAACCTCAGTCCATCCCCAACTGACTGACTTTATGTATTTATTTATCTTTTCAGTAAGAACCAGTGAGTGTTTTTTTTTAAAAATTAACGTTTTAAATTACCCATTTTATTGAACCCATTGATTACATTTAAGCTATTTTTCAGAATCGTTCATTGAATGGTGTTAAATGTTGTTAAATAAAGAAGGTAGGGAGTAGCTTTTCAATTAAAATTATTCACTTTGTTTGAAGACATTAAATGAAATCCAAAAAGAGGCGTGTTTATCCATTCAATTTTTTTTTTCAGAGTCTTTTCAGACGGAGTTATTAACTGGTCACGCATAGTAGTACTGTTCATGTTTGCTGTCAAAGTGGTGTTCAATGCAGTCTCACAAGGCTTTAGTGGTCTTGCCGGAGATGTGATACGCTTTGTTGTCAAATTCATTTTTATTCATGGTATATACAAATGGATACAAAGTCATGGTGGTTGGGTAAGTGTTTACTCTGTTTGTGCTAATCATCTAAATTGCCTGTTTCTATCTACACCTGGTGCGATGGGCTCTGGTCAGCAGCCGGAAAAAATGTCTAAGATAAAGGAGTTCATAGATGGAATCATTTTTCCAGCAGACGAATTTTGACGAACTATTTGAACTTTAGACACTGACCAAGCTTTTTTTAATTTTGTGTTATAATGCTTTATCAAATAGTTCTTTTATTTTTAGGTAGTTTAAGTTTATTTATGCCCTTTGCTTGTTTTACATCACTGAATGTGCACCTCAAGTTTGCTAGTGAAAAATAAAACTAAAACTTCAATAATTATTGTAGCTCGTTCGTGATTTCGAGTAGACTTCATACTCTTTAGTGTGTATGTTTAGCTTACTTTTATTTTTATCAGTAGTATAGTGCCAAATGACTGAATATTTTCCGAAATTGTGTTACACAGCCGCAAACAAATCAATATTATTACCAACGTTTTTGTATTTCCCGAAGAATAAAAAACAAAACGAGAGTGATTTTTTAAAATCTAATGCATCTGTGAGACCACTCAGTGCGAATACATCTGTACCATAGGGGGTGATTATGAGCCATAGCAAAAACAATCTCCAGCCATCGGCTCTTAGCTCCTGGAGGATCCCAGACAGTCGATAAACACCTCCCTACGTGGCTTCAATCGACACTCAAAAACTGTGTAAATTGACTCTATGTTTGGTATTACCTCTCCTAACTTTTTTCAAACCCAGTGAAGGTGGCGACTTGACATTCTCAACACGTGTTTTAGGACTGATGACCCCCTTCCCCCCAAATAAAAAAATGATCGGTAGATACCAGTTCTGACAGTGGCGAATCACATGTTAGGCATTATTATTAGATTATTATTCCCTTAGGTCCCGAGGGGAACATAGGGTTTCAACAGCACATCTCCACTTTGTCCTATTCTCTACGTTCCTCTTCAGCTGATCCCATGGTTGCTCATGGTCTCTCATCTTCTCCTAGGGAGATCTCCTTCAAGTCATCTTCAGACCTACGCCAAACTCGTCGTTTCCCATTCGGGATCCACTTGAGGGCCTGGTGTGCGATGTTACCCGACGGTCTCCTAAGCGTGCGTCCTATCTGTCTTCATTTGTTGGACAACAGGTTCTCGGTTGGTTTATTCCCAGAGTTACTTGTTACTAATTCTTTCTGCCTTGCCATTTTATCTTCAATATGAAGCGAAGGCGGCTGTTGACAAGAGTCTGCAGTGAGCTGTTTGAAATGCTTTTCGTGAGGCACCGAGTTTTTGACCCGTATAGAAGAACTGACTTAACATTTGTGTTGAAAATCTGAATTTAGTTTTTTATACTGAGTGATGAAGATCCTCCTTTCCGATCCTGACTGGTTGTGATGTCAACCAAAATGAGCATCTAAATAAATAATAGCATGTTAAACATAATCAGGTTTTTCTTCCAGAGACTTATTTTGTCAGTATCTCCACCTGGAAAGACTATGTCACTTTGTGCTAAATATGGCGCTGAAGATGTTGCCCAGAAGGACGACGAAAGCTTCGCAACTGAACCAACCAGCTCAGAGAACACTTTTAATTGCAAGACTATGTCATCCGCATACTCAGAATCAACGAAACTGTACCCTAGTAACAGCTTAATCCCTAATTCGCCAAAGTTGATTAGATATACCTCCATCAGTACATCAGTGATGAAATTAAATAGCAACGAAGATATTGGACATCCCTGACAGACTCTACTGGTTTTCTCCACATGGATGCTAAGGTTTGAGTAGCTACAACACTTTTAGTCGACGCGGTCTGATGCAGCAGTTAGTTCGATAATTATGGAGAATTCTGGACTCTGCTAAATCTGTGTACTATCCTGCCGAAGAGTGAAGATATGGTCTGTGCATTCTACTGTAGGGCTGAAGCCTGAATTGTTGTCTGGATATCGTTCTTCCCGATCTGAGCTTAATCTCCACAGGACTATGGGACCGAGTATCTTAGACAACAAGTTAGTCTAACCGATCCATTTGTGATTATCTTTTGGAGAGTTGTCTCCCTTCCCATAATCATAGGTTTATACTAACCTTCAGCACCTCTAAAGTAATACCTTAAGATCCTGCTGCTTTTCTTCGTCTTCGATTAGAGACAGATTTAGGGGTCCGGTTTCTACATTCCTTTCATAAATGTATTGGGTGATGGGCAACCGTAGTGTAGCTGTGGACCAGTTGATGTGCTCCTTAGGTGTTCTGCCCAACGTTCCAGTCGTTGCTCCTGTCAACTTATGAAAGTTCCATCTTTCTCAAAGGTTGTTTCATTTACCGTAGGTCTTATTTAGAAAAAGTTCCCCTATTGAACTCCAGTAATCTAGGGATATTACTAAATGTTGATACTTTTCTATTCCTTTCCCCTTCGTCACCCACTAATGTTTGCTGTAGTTGCAAAGACGTTTAGTCAGGTTTCTGTCCTCCTCCTTGCATTTCAATCCGTCGGTATGAGTTTCCTTGTATTTATCATTTTGGATATAACTGTAGAAATCCACTGGCAGAACATCGACATCTTTTGCCACTGTTTCTACAGTGAACTGAATATGATCCCTGAGGATGAGTTCCCTCAGGTACGTGTTTATTCATCTTTTCAAAGCTAAAAATGCTATATTCTTGACTGGCAATATCTGTTGTCCTTGTCCGGTTTTTGAAAACTCCTCTATGAAGTTAGCGACGGGGGCTTCAGACGCTTGGAGCCGTGTTTCTGTGGCTGAATTTGCTATCAATAGTCACAGTCTTAAGAGAAGGTGAAGAGTCTACGTGTGGAATGGTATTAACAATGAGATGAAAAGTGATGGGTAGTAAACAGAAGGAACTTTGGATGCTAATAAAAGTGTGTGGGTGGTTGCTACCTCCTGGCTATCTATATTCGTGAAAGTTGGTGACTTCATTTAGTACATGAAAGAAAGCAGTATTAGTTTCACGTGACACCAGGTCCCAAAGGACAACTGACTAAAGTCCTTCACACACAGCTTTTGTGAAGTTGTGTTTTTTTAGAGAAGACCTTACGACCGGCCATATGCTGCCTTAAGGGAAGTTTGGATCTGCAACTTATCTCCTTCTGACCGACCTATTTTCAGCAGCGGTTCAAGTTTCCACACATCATGTTATAAACAAAGGTAGACAAAAGAGAGATTCGAAACAACTATGATGAACAGAAATGTGAGTGAGAAAGACTGGCAACAACATGGCAGTGGCTCTGCATGTGCAATTTATATCCTAGCCATTCTAATCTATACAGCTGCACAACTTCATCGAATAACGTGCCCTGCTTACCTAACACTTAACGCCCAAGCTCATTATTGCTCGCCATATATTATACTGTTTGACACGAGAACAGAAGGCAGACATCTGAGATCGCGAAGAAAACAACTGGCGTGTTATATCCCTATCCACTAGTAGTGTGACTTTGCTCTCGTACTCCGAAAACACAGCGTGAACAACTTACACTATTACGGTAATCAACTTTAGTCTCGTTGCTATTCAGACGACATATCTGATATGGTAAGACCTTCAGAAATTTTCTCCTCAGCCGATATATCTTGTGTTGTCACCACAATATACAGGCCCAACTATCGCATCAAGGAAGCAGTTGTCGAACAGTAGTTCAATAAGTAGAACTTAAAGTAATACTGAGTCATTGACAAGAAATCATCACATTGGACACACTTTTTTGGAAATCGAAACTGCTCGTTGAATGTGGGTATTCTTTTTCAAAAATTTCTATTCTATATAATTTACTCATGGCCAATGCTGTCATCGAGACATTAAGCAACATCAACAAGGAAACCTGTGTGCAGGGATACTGGATGTCTCTGAAAGTGGTGTGGGGGAAAATCTGGGTAGTTGTCTTAGTATGGAAGAAGAGGCAAGACAAGGAATTGCTATCCACATATAAATGGAAGCTAAAAGCGGAAAGAGAGATGGTGAAACAGATGAACCAGTGCAAAGATGAACAACGAAAGGAGAGGCTGAGTTCAATCCACAGCTCAATAAACAAAGAAATGAAGAAGAATGCTAGGAAAAACAAAAGACAACTTTACAACATATTGGCAACTAAAACAGAACGGGCCTCACATAAAAGAGATTCCAGATAACCAAGTCGTTACCCGGCAAGAGACCGACATATGAAACCAATTAGAGACAGTGAAGAGAACCTAATTACCAAAGAGGAGGAACACAAGAAGTTCTTTGCTGGTCACTTCGAAAGATTCTTAAAATGACCACATAACCTGCAACTTGTCCCAAAACATCGCCGCTAACGGTAGAGAGAACTGCCTGTGAACACCAATCCTCCGACAACAGATGAAGTCTTCAGTGCCATTTATTAAATGACAGTCAGGATGGCAGTGTGACCAGTCGGAATTACTCCAGAAACACTGAGAACGTACACAGAGACTTCAGCAGACATGCTCACCGCACTGGTGTATGAGGGGTATCGCCGATTGGAAGAAAGGCTACCTTGTCAAACTGAAGAGAAGGGCTACTTAAGTCTTTGCGTGGAATAGCGTGACATCAGTTTACTGTCGTTTCCAAGCAAAGTATCAAGTTGCATCATCGTGAAGAATCTGAAAGATTCATTAATAATCACCATCTAGAGATTAATGAAAAGACACGTGGTTCAGCAGAGTCTCTTTTCGGCGAATTCATTCACTTAGCTGTACAATCGCAATTATTTATGATTATATATATATATATATATATCAGTTAAGAATCAAAATTAGTTAAGGTTATTGTTTACGTTATTGAAATATGTCAATAAATGTTGGGAATAATCAAGCTGCAACTAGGGGGTGAAGATTAGTAAAAGGGTAGTGGTGATAAGTTGTCAAAAAAAACATAGCTGTTAATGTTAGTTAATGTCTAAAAGAAGCTGAATTGTTATTGTTATAGGTACGCAATAAGATGAATAGTTTAATGAGTGAGCTGTGGTTAGGTAGTACATAGAACTTGGCACCGAAGTGCAGCAGTTCGAGTTGCCACTTTCCAAATAACTCACAAAGGTAGACAAGAAAATGAGTGAAGAGAACCAATAGAGTTTTGACAAGTATAAGAGTGAAACAGAGTGAGTAATGGTAGAAAGGAATATGAAAGATTACAGATACTGAATACATCTGCGCCATTGACAACGATTTTGAGCCATGTCACCTATTGTCTGCAGCCATTGATTCTTAGAGTCCCGAGGGCCCCAACCTGGAAGTCTGCATCTCCCTACCTGACTCAGTTTAACTGTCAAGGATTTCATGGATTGATGCCATGTTTTTGTTTGGCCACCACTTACCCTTTTCCAACCTGCACCTATATCAGCTAGTAATGCCCGTCGGGGGAGGCGATGGTTAGGCATGCGCAGCATGTGACCTAGTCATCTCAATCTATGTAACTTTATAGCGTCGTCGATTGATTTTCCCTCTTTGCCCAACACTCCCCGCCTAACGTCAACATTGCTTACCTTATTATACCACCTAACGAGATTATGTAAGAGTTCTAAAAATAGCACATGTTATAAGGAGTTAGAAAAAGAACAAGCCTACAAACATCAAGTCAGTAGAAGTCAACATGGTTGTTACCATGATAATATAAGCGGCTGAATGATTTTCTTTTGCATACATAACTTTGGTTTTTTCAATTGAATGGCTAAGCCTTCAGCAATACAAAGGAGACGAAAGCGTATAGCCTTTGGCAGGTCATTCTTCACTCTGTAGATCACTTTGAAGGAGGCGTTTGTTGAGATGGAATGGCCAGTATTGACAAGGTGGTTTGACCACAGCTACTACTACCTTTTTCGCAGCCGTGCGGGACTGTGTTCTTGAAATCCTTATGGGCAGGATATGAGTCGAACAACCAATGTAGCTGCCTCCACATCAACAGGTGAACTGACATCTGCACACAGAGGTAGCTAGATGCATGATCTTGTCCTTAAGGCTTCTGCAGACCAATGGGCGACTGGAGAACACTACTCCTGGCGTTTCTGTGAAGGACGTTCTTCTCAAAGATGCTGAAATTCCTCTTTTGAGGATATCACAGACTAAGTTTCCCTTGAAATCCAAGTTCATGTAGAGTTGCTGTTTTGGAACAAGTAATGTTTCGTTCCTTTGGACTTTTGGTCTGATGTGCTTGTCGATGAATCTTGCTGGGTATCCATTTCGGATGAAGGTTTCTTTCAGAAGATCTAGTTCTGCTTCCAAGGCGTCAGGACTACAGATGCGCCGGATCTGAGTGGCATTGGATTTAATTAGATTTCGTTTTCGTTCGACAAGCACCCAACTGTAGAACCTTCTTTCCAAATGGGTTTTCTATGGACTGACTTTATTAAGGTTCCATCGGGTCGTCATATAAGTTCCACATCAAAAAAAGGGAATTTCGTACTCGTTTTCCATTTCTAGAATGGATTTTATTGCTCGATGATGGTTGTTAAATATTTCTAGCAATTGATTCGGGTCGTAACTATTGTTGCAAATAATGAAAATGATATCTACATACCGTTCATACAGTTGTAAATTTTCAAATAAAGGCAGCCATGAAACAGTCTGCTGGTAATAGACCCAAGGGAGATCCCACTACAGTGCCGTCCTTTTTCCTTTAGATAGTGTCATTGAAAGTGAATTATCCAATGAGAGTACATCTTAGCAGCAGTTCTTTCAAATATGTTGTTGGTATTTCAATGTTGAACTTGCTGTCATCTTTGTTCACATATAAAGGTAGTTTCCGTAAGGCGAACATGAGTGAAAAGTGATTCATTGTCGAAGGATAGTGTACTTTTGTTAGTGTCCAGCCAATGAAGTGAAAGGTGTCACAAAGCGAGTACGTGCATAAATGTTTCCTTACAAGTTCCAGAGTATCAGCCAACAATCTCGTGACAGAGTGGTAGGAGGAACCTGACATATCTAGAATTGGGCGGAATGGATGACCAACTTTGTGTATCTCTTATAAACAATAAAGCATCTGAAAGATGCTCTGAATGCATAACTCCTCCTCAAAGAAGCAAATCATGTGTGGGTCAAATTTCAGCGCTACGCATCACCACTGAATAAAGCATCGAATGGTAATCAACTATTTACCTCAACTTCATGGACTTTGAGAAGGCTTTCGACTGTAAAGTAATTAGGAAACTGCTTCAGTACCATGGAGGGCAGTATAATAAACATTTAGAAACCTCATTCAATACCTGTATGGTGCTACATACCAGGCGGTTCACAGCGGAGATCTCAGAGAAGACTATGAAGTGAAGACAGGAGTTAGATAAGGCTGGATACTACCACCGATGTTATTCCTGATTGTGATCCCATTGGAGCATGAAACAAAGTAGAGACTAAGAAGACAAAAAGACTCGAGAAGATCTGGGCTTAGTGGATGATTTATCTATGTCTGATGTCATGCATACTGGAAGATCTACAGGCTAAAGCCAACGAGTCGGCAGAAGAAGCAGTGGAGACAGGACTTCAGCTGAGCGCAGAGAAACCAGAGGTGGTGAACGTATTTGAAAATTTCATATCAACGGGATAAATTTGAAGGAAATTGCCCACTTCACTTACCTCACCTAAGCAGCATCGTTTTAACTACAGACGACATAGATGAGGTTGTCAAAACCAGCTATGATTATCAGATTAGGAAAACAAGATAGCCATTCACCAATCTTAAATCAGTGTGAAAATCTACAAGATTGGAATTTTCGACAATAATGTCAAGCTGCCTCCGTTCAATACTAAAGATCAGACGGCTAGCCAACGAACCAGCATTAAGAGTCGATTGCCCAGCAGGTAAGCAGAAGGAAATAGAGATGGTTTGGACACACACTGAAGAGACCGTTAACTGACATCGTACTCCAGGCTGTCGAATGGGGAAACCGATGGGTTGGGCGTTGGGAGGTGGTGATATGCAGAAGATCGTGTAAGGGGGAAATAAAGCTTATAAGCAACTACGAAGCCAGCTAAAAAGGATTGCAGAGAATGGAGTGAAGTGTCTGTGTGCTGCTGAAGCCTTTTATTTCGCTCGGAATCCAAGCTAATAATAATATAACTATGGGGATTTGTTTCCTAATTCATTTTGTTGCATTTCTTTCTGACAACACAGGCAATACGTGTGCATCGTGTAGGATTTTAAAGTTACTTGGGTTTACTTTTAAAATATTTCTTCCTTAACTAGACCCCAGTGGAAGTTGGCTCTAGTCTGAATAGCTTTTTGTTCAAGTATTTTGTAATTGGTTGATTATGCAAGGTTAGCAATTCCATCGGAATGTTTATCGCCTTACATATGGTGTATGTGTATTGCTTGCTTAGGTTTTAAACCTACTTCTAACTTTTTACATCCCTATAAACGCTTGAATAAGAGAGGAAAAGTGGTTCTTTGAAAAACAAGTTTACGCGCAAAACAACCTACTGGAATAATTTGTAAGGCACAATCATTTTTGGTTTCTACTACTACTGACATATTAACTTCTTATTGAAGGTTTTAATTTCAGTTGCGACTTCTTTTTTGCCCTGTTTTTAGGTGGCTGTTCTACGCGAGTATACGCCACATTCTAATTCAAGTGGTCTGATCGTATTCGGCCTTACTCTTCTGATTGTTTGCTTATTGTTATCAAGGAAGATTTAGTTGACATTCCTATGTGTGTGTTATCTTCTTTATGAATTGTCGTTAAACCATGGTTTGCACAACGGCTCACATACGAACACTGATTAACACAGTACGCCAGTGATACGCGTGTACATTTACATGACAAATTCATTCAAAATGGGAACAGGAATTTTATCGATTTGAAGAGTTTTCACTCTCCCTTTTTTCCTCCTTTACACGCGAAAAGCAAAATATGAAATAAGCATTTCAAGTTTACTATTGTTATTATTATTATTGTTATTATGATCATGATTTGATGGTCAAGCATAACAGTCCATGAAGATTATACATATCCATGTGTTGTTGCAATCCCCCTTCTACCTGTTTATCCATACACCTAGGCATATTCTCTTATCTCTATATAACTAATTCTCTCCTGCACAGTTATCGACTGCACCAGCTGTTTGTTAGATTAAGGGTGTTCTTACCTTGCTTATGCGTGTCTATTCGTGCCGCTTTGGTTGCACTAGTCAGTTTTGCTCACACTTCTTCTACGTTTTTTTTTCTTCTCCGTTCGTTCAATGATGCGAGACGAGTTCAGTTTTTGTGTATATTTTTCAAACACTGTCAACTTTACGTGCCTTGTTTACATGTGATCACCATTGTTCAGGAATTTTGTCTTTTTTTTCCTAATGTTTTGTATCGAATGGGTGCTGCATTATTGGTCTGTAACTGTCTATTTATTTCCTAGTGAATGTCCTAGTCCTCCTCCTCCTCCTCCCGACCTACATTTGCAAATTTGTAATTTTTACTGAAATTTCCCCTTAGTATTGTTGTTTATCCAACACGTTTTACCAATTTTCGCTGTGAAACGAAAAAACATTTTTTCTATTTCATCTAACACTTTCTACAATGTGTTTTCCCTTTTCTTTTGTATTCTGTGTAAATTATAATTACATTGTATATATATAACATTATAAATTGTTCGTTGGAACGGAGGTAGCTTGATGCTGTGTTCCTTGTTGTATTAATTGTTGACACACGTCAGCCGGTATTGCGAAATAAACGTTCCAAAGCATTGTGCTGCGTTATGACAACCTGGCATATGCAGAAATGATGGTCAGGCTGATGGCCATCAACACCTGAAAGAGAGACCAGTAATTATACTATGATCAGTGAGATGAATTTCATTCATATTTTACTTTTAGTGTCCTACAAATGTGGTGCAGAAAATTAACGATAGCAATTTTATCATTCTTACTGAGGGGTTAGCTTTTGTGTCTCTTATTGGCGGTTCATTCATACATTGAAGTATTGAAAGGCTGTTTGTTGTATCAAACATTGCTTTGCGTTGCAAAATGCAAAGGTGGACCCTGTATCTACTGTTAAACCAATCTCTTGTGCCTTATCGTCACTTGATAGGAGTTAAGTGTGCACACGAAAACCATTATTGGTCGAAATCCATACATAAAAATTAAATATTGCACGCTTAAAGTGATATGATTTTTCTTCTATTATACTGTCAATTTTAGATAAAATACCATTGAAATGCTTAGAAACTGGATTCCACAGCAAGTAACAGAGCTGCCGTTGGAAACCATTACTGAAACAGAATTCAACTCCGATCTAAGCAGATTAACTGATTTGGATTGCAAGGATGTACGTACTGTTGATTTGTACGGTGGAGTTTTCGTAGCATTTCCACGGAAATTTGGTCTGTTTATTTCTTGTTACACATACAACCTTCCTAAAGATATGAAACTTTCTAGTGTGTATTCTCACCTCACATGAGGACAGCTATCTAGTATATTTCAAAGATTCTCCAATATATGTCAGCTCATGAGAAAAAATCTGTTTTCACATTAATAATTCCTATAGGTGTCAATGAACAACCTGTTATGAAAGTTGGTCACAAAGGACAAGAGTGTATGATTTCTGTTCTATTCTTACAAAAAACACGTTTCCAAAAACATTGATATACATTAAGGGATATAAGAAATGATAGTTTTGAAAATGTACCAAGTGTTTATTGTAAATGCTTATTTTGAACAACGAAGCGATTTTCAACCTATATGGAACAGAATAAAACTGATCCATTTCATTTCTTATTTATCACTGCTTGCGTTCTGAGTCAGACATTGGGCATCAGTAACTGTTGAAGGCATTTTCAGAGTCGATGAAATTGACTGCCATTCTATGCTCTGTTCGATAATGATGCGTAGCATCGCAATTTGGTCCTCGCATAATTCACCTCTGAGGTTTCCTCCTACGTCGATTTCAGTGTTCTTCCACACAGGTTCTCTCTGTGATATTGCATAATGTCTCCAACTTTTACCTGATGACCGTTGTGAGGTGTCCTGTATAGCTGTGTCCTACAGTTTCTTAGTGCTAAACTTGAATTGTAGTCTATCTCTGGCTTCTATGAAGGCTTTCAACCTGGCTTTAAAGGGTCTGCACTAGGTAGTAATCTTAACCTACATCTGCCAATCTTCTAGACATTCCGTCCAATAAGCTGCTTTACCGGCTTCATGAAATTGAGATCAAATCTACCGGACTTTTGTGGTACCCATCTGGTGAAATCCACATCACTCTGAGTATATCTTTATGCTTGTACACGCTCCAATCGCTCAGCCATGAAAGGCTATTTGTTCTGATTCATTTCACCGAACGCCTGCCGACCAGTGCTGAGTCAGTTCTCTTCCTACTCGCAGTTCGGTTGGCATTCATACAGCCTATTAGAATTTAGATGTCACCATCTGTCTGCGTCTTGTATATTACTAATTAAAGTTATCTGTAGAATTCCTTGTTCTCCCGTCCTGGTCTGCGTTGTTCGTATATACAATTTCAAAGTAGAGCAAGTTTTGCTTTTTTTCTTCTGTACTTTAAATTTTCACTATCAATAGTGTTTTGTTTTACAGCATGGAGGCTGCTAGCTCCATTCCCAATTTTCTCTTTTTCCAGGCCTTAGGATTGGCTAGTAACCTAGGCGAGATGTATCAGAAAGAAATTATTAGTTTTACTACAATTTTAACATCAGTACACTGGAGACACAAATGTCAGACAATAATTAACAATGATCATGGTAAATAGATGAACTGAGATTTTAAATTATGAAAATATGAGGAATTGCTACTAGACGTGAATTGATGTACACATTTATAGATAACAAATTGTAGGGTATCTGTTTACTTTCCTCTGAAATAGTGAACCTGCTGTTTCGTCCACAGGAATCAATCTATCCTCTATAGTTATTCAATGGAAACTGGCAAGCTGAATGTGTTATTACAACCGTATCACTTTAACAACCGATTTTGTGAATTTACTTCCAAATGGAATTTTATTAAGAGTTGATCACGGATTGATATCAGTTAGAGAGGCATTGAAAACCAGCAAGGAGTACTGGACAGCTGCTGTTTCATCCTAGTTTTGGGAATCATCGGCAGTACGCACCCACTGGGATTCGAACCCAGGACCTTCCGGTTACAAGGCAAGCTCGTATACCATTCAGCCACTGGGACACGATTCAATGGCTCATGAATTCTAACTTCTACCAATTCGTGATTTAGCGCGACCCCAACCATTGTCGTTGGTGGGACATCCATCCACACACCTGACATCTAATTGGACCTCACTGGTCACGACTTGTAACCGGAAGGTCCTGGGTTCGAATCCCAGTGGGTGCGTACTGCCGATGATTCCCAAAACTAGGATGAAACAGCAGCTGTCCAGTACTCCTTGCTGGCTTTCAATGCTTCTCTAACTGATATCAATCCGTGATCAACTCGTAAAGACATAACTAACCCTTACAAACCAAATTATAGAAAATTTTTTAAGAGTGAATAAATGTCAAATTAATCATGAAGAATCTTACTGGAAGAAATTGTGATAATTTTTTAATAGTTTGTGTTGTGAATTGTACAGTCTTCTATTCTGACGCACATATTCTTTAGGCTTGATAACCGTGTAAAATATGCTTCAGTGGACGTATGAGTTCTGTTGCTATTGTTACCACCTGTATATGCCAGATTAATTCGGTAGTAATATAATACGGAATAGCTAAATTATTTTGAATAACTATTACTTCCTGGAAATTTTCATATATTGAGAATAATAGTAATAATAATAATACAGATGGGATAGATAAGCAAACCAACTTTTGTCTACAAAATTTCTATCATTAGTGTTAAATTTTAACCATTCAGTGCACAGAATATTTGCACATAATCATTTGTGTACTCAACTAGTATGACGAATTGTAGGCATGTTCACGGGTAATAGAGTTATTTAAAGGGAAGGTGGGAAAGTAGTCTCACTCCCTTGGAAAGAAATTATTTTTTCATGATAATAAGTGCTTGTTCCGTTCATCTGTGTTTCTTTTTTCTCTTTCCTTCTTTCTTTCCTCTGAATTCCTGTTGAATACTACTAACTATTCTAGCCCTCAGACTATATGCACTGTCAATAACCATAATAATGATGGATTAGTGAAAATCCTGAAGAACAGTGTTAACGGATATAACAACTAAAATGTAGAAAATCTCTTTTTTTTATGACTAAAAAACACTAGTGGAGTTTACTAGTGTTTTCACACTTCATTTGTTGTTTGTTTTCTTCTAGGATTGACATGTGTTGCTCCCGGAATAGATGTATGTACGCATATACGATCTCTTTACACTTGATATTCTACTTGGAAATTTCAATCAGTTTATTTATTATTATAGGAGGTAGTAGGGAAATTTGTAGGTGATAGTTATTCTGGTTAATAGGCTAGGCATGGACTAATAACATTCAGTGGCTCATAAATGAACAGAATTTATCCCTATTAGGGTTGTTTGAAAGTGGGATTCTGTATTCCCCCCCCCCCCGCTATTCTGACCTGTAATTGTCTTGCCACGTGAAGTGTTTAGTATTATACTTAACCGAAAAGTTACTTACACAGAATATTATTCTACTATTTGATGGTTCAGTTTATCAATAAAACTACTGAACTTCGGTCAGACATTTAATTCGTACTCACTTCCATAAAATGCCAACTAAGCTTAAGTAGTGTGTATACCAGTGCCATTAATCTTCACACTAATTTATTGCCATTATTATTGTTGTTTGAAAGCTGGGCTATATTTTTCGGGAGGTTTTCAGTGTTTAATATAACTGATGACAATGTGAGTGAGTGGTAAAGCTGTGATTTATGTAATTAAATGATACCATTTCTATTTTGCACAGATTCACAATGTGACGGGAGAAGACTAGAGACTCGGTAACAAAATGTTTATTTGCAATTTGACGCGCACATATGGGGAAACTGTGTATTTGTGTTAAAGTTGTCGTTTTGAAATAATAGAGAGGATTTGTAGCTAAGGCGGATGATTTGCAATTAGTAGTGTTCTCTGAACTGTTGCTGAAGATGTTGTCCAGAAGGACAACGAAAGCTCCACAACTAAACCAACCAGCTCAGAGAGCACTACTAATTGTAAAGTCGTCATTTGCTCAGATCTTCCGTGTTGTCCTACTTCTGCTCTTCGTCGTATTGTGTTTCTTTGTCTTCTTTTTGTGTCTCCAATGTTTCCCTGCAGTACTAGTTCATTTCCTCTCTTTGACACCAAATCTATCTCTCCGCTACTGGATATTTTTGTGCCAATGAACTTCTCTTTTAATATACTGCTGATAAATTTTGTCAGAATATATTTTAATCAAGATTAAAAATAAAGTTACTACATTAGATAACTTATCTTCTCGTCATTCAACCTACTGGCACTGGCAATAGCTGTGCGTTAAGTCAGCTTCCTCAAAAGACTGTGTAGCTCTTAATCTGCCAGCCAGATCAACAGGTGGTTGTATATGGAGACTTTTGTCGTTGTTACCAGTGTGTTCCTTAATAATCACTTTCTTCTTATACATTACTCCATAAACTACACTCCATAGATTTTTCTCTGTAAATTCATCTACTATTAAACACTGTTTTGATCCGAATAGTCATAACTAATAGATGTTCTTGTTGGACATTACTTGATATTAGGCAATTCAGGTTCTCGAATGGTCGATGCAATTTTGAACAGTTGTGAAATTTCTCTTTATATAAGGATTTAGAAGCAAACTCTTGCTTC